GCAGACGGGGATTTTGTTGGTAACAAAAATAAGAAAACGGAACTGCTACGTTATATCTGTCCTCCTTTATGGTAGTGAATGGTGGATGAAGAAGAGACCCTAAGGTAATGGAGGTACGGCTCTATAGAAAGATGGACCGAGCGTGTGAGCAACAATGAGGTTTTGGAGAGAATGCAAACAAAGAGGAAACTTATATTTAACATCAAGATGAGGCAGCTGAAATTTCTGGGACACGTAATGAGAAATGAAGGCTTGGAAAATCTGATACTCACGGAGCGGATAGAGAGAAATAGGGTCAAGGGTAAGCAATGTGTAACATAATTAGCGGGCTTAATCAAGTGGATGACAGAACAGGGATTGTGGGAAGTAGCAAAAAAAATCTTATTGAGAACTACGAAGATATTGGGGAGTCATGAACGTCTACGTCCTGAAGGGACACGGCACATAAAAGAAGAAAAATATTTTTCTTGTCTTGTGAAATATGTCTGGGGTTGTATTTTCATCTTTCTCGCAATTTATTCCGTTATGTTTCTTAAGATATGTTTTCTGATGACGCTTGTTTCTATTGCATGATTTGTTTTGTAGACAGAGAATATTTCTTGTTGGTGTCATTGTTAAGAATAAGATTACAGTTAATTAGTTAAACAATAAGCTAATGACTTTAAGCCTACATATATATTCATATCTATCTACGTACCTATCTATCTATCTAATCGATTTATCTCTAACACAGTAAATTTCTATCTATCTAATCGATTTATCTATATCACTGTAAATATCTATCTATCTATCTATCTATCTATCTATCTATCTATGAGAATTCATATGTATGTATGTATCTAATTCAATTTATCTCTATCCCTGTAAATTTCTGTCTATCTATCTATCTATCTATCTATCTATCTATCTATCTATCTATCTATCTATGGGAATCCATATGTATGTATATGTATGTATGTATCTAATTCAATTTATCTGTACACCTGTAAATTTCTATCTATCTATCTATCTATCTATCTATCTATAGATAGATAGATAGATAGATAGATAGATAGATAGGTTTCCTTTTGTCTTTATTCATATTGTCCTTTTGCGGATATATTCAATCTAATTTTTTTTTGCAGATACACACACACACACACATATATATATATATATATATATATATATATATATATATATATATATATATATATATATATAGGCAGTAATTTTTATTTTAAAGACGTTTTATTGAAATGAAAATGTTTGACATTTTATGTCTATTAAGCTTTTCCATCTTTTTATCTTAATTATGAATGATTTTTCGAATAACTCCCTTTGAAAATTTCGTACATCTCCTGCAGCCAATTTTGTGTTAGTTCATTGGTAATTTAGATGAAAATGGCCAGGCTTAATAGACATAATATGTCTGTATTTTCAGTACATTCGTGCGTATGTGTGTTTGTGTGTATGTCGGGGTACGTGAATGCGCGCATGTGTGCGTATGTGTGCGTATGTGGGGATAATTAATATTGTTGATTATTTCTGTTTTAACAAACATATTTGAAAGATTCACTCTTGTCTACAACTCATACGTATATTTTTTTATATTCGTACAATTTGATATATTTCATATAATCTTTTGGCAAACATACTCCACCTGAGATGACAAAATACACATTTCTCTCTCTCTCTCTCTCTCTTTTTTTTTAATTCTTTTCTGTTCTCTCTTTAGTTCTTTTAAAATAAAAAAAAATTTATGTCAATATCATTGAATTTATAGAAATTAGATCGTACGTCAAAATTTGAATGAACTTTTTTCCATTATGCCGTCTTTGCGACAAAATGAAACTGCAAATGGGAAAATGTCTTTTTTCATAAAAGACATTTTTCCCATCTGAGTTTTCTCGAACATCTTGGAATTTAATTAAAATATTTATCTTTTAGAAAGTGGTCGCCACTTCCTAGCGGATTAGGCTTCTTTTTTTTCAACCGGGAAACAGAATTGTTATATTCAATCAAATCAACATCAGTTTGGGTAAAAAAATAAAAATACACTAAGTGAAAACATTGATATACAGAGTGCGCATATTTCTTTTAGATTCACATTAGAACACAATTACTGAATACCATGTGACTATCATACTAATTACATTAGTAAATTTCAGAGCAATAAGCTTGATAACATCCATTGACCTACTGATATAAAATTAAATAACATATTACCTCCGTTGGTCTATTTCAGAGATTCAATGTTGAACTTCGGTATTTAATAAATCCACTTACGTCGGCTGAAACATGTGATAATAAAATTTGTAAAATTAAACCTCTGAGATTATTTATTTTCTCATTTGTGGATCGAATACTTTATAGCCAAGATATTTTTGAATCCGAAATTGAAATTTTAACCTAAACTCACTTATCAAGGATTTCGTGTAGTCACGGTATGAGCCACGCCTTTTCAAAACGGCTGAGAAGACAGAGATCACAATACATGCGAGTCCAATATTTTATATCCTGACCTCATGGCAGATTTGATGTCATTTGTAATGTGGCCGCGCGATAAGAGGCCAAAGAGTCAAGCATGAACATCGTATGGCCAAGCAACTGACCGGCACATGTTGGAAATTATTGCCCTGCTGATCTATCATCTAATGCATGACTTTGCTTTAAAATAGATTTTTTCAGTCGGGTGGATTGTCCGAATCAGACTGGTCACTTCTATGAGAGATTGTAATTTAGCAATTTGACAACTTCATAGAAAACAGAACTGAAAGGAAATTTTATTGATGAGTAAATTTATTACACTCATTTTCACTTTCACTATCCTTTTGTTTCTTTTTCTCTGTTTTCTTTTGATGACTACTGACTTTCAAATTTTGTTAGTCCTTTTTTATTCTCTCTCTTCTCTCTCGCTCTCTCTTCTCTCGCTCTCTCTCTCTCTCTCTTTGCTATCTAAGACTAGAATGACTCTAAAAAGAAACGAATAATGAAAGTAGTGCGCAAATCTTTAAAGTGAGAAGCATGTCAAATTGAAATTCAGTAATAAAATTTAGTTGCATTTGAACACTAACCAAGACATTGACACACCAGAAGAATGCCTCTGTAAAAGAATTTTCACTAGTCATTGAGTTACGACAAGTTGACTCGGCAGATATGTCAGAAGCTTTTCTTCCGTTCTGGGTATGACGATAAACTACATCCGCGTCCTGGGTAAGACAATGAACTACCTCCATCAGCAAGGCCTCTGACCAGGAGGTTTTGAGGAGCGTGGAAGCACCTCTTAATTGCTGGTGTTTCCAGGGCCATCCTGACCCGGGCTGATAGTACCTGTTGGAGTCCCAGCTATATCAGAGCATATTTGAATAGATTTGAATACGTAGAAATACTTTGGGTTCATTTATTCAAAATATCTGTCTTGATATGGGAAATCTGAATGATAATATTTCGATGAAGGGACATCTTTTAAACTTAAGATTATTTATATTTTCAAACATTTTCTTTCCATTAGATACCTTGAGGAGCATACAGTGAGCTAAATTCATTAAAATATCGGTTTTGATTGGCTGTGATATATATATATATATATATATATATATATATATATATATATATATATATATATATATATATATATATATATATATATATCACGCTAGCGTGTATTACCCAAATTGGCGTATTTGTAACAATTCTAACATTCAATATGGAAGTAAATTAGTTGTTTCTTCCACCAATTTTTTTTTTTTTTGTCAGCAAGTGTACATGTACCACAAACGCGCCAATTACAGTTCAAGGAGAAGGCAATGTAAATGATCGCACGTGCTAAAAGTGGTTTCGTCCTATCATGATAATGATTTGTCTCCAAACCATGCTACATAGTACGGTAGACCAATTTATTGTTTCAGAACAAAATGCCATATTCAAGACGTTTCGACTGTTTTACGATCCGTACTTCTTCAGGATCTGTCTATATTCCCGAGATGAGGAATTGTAACTATTTACATGATTTACATTGTTCGGATTGTTGTCCTCATCTTTGTTGCCATATCCTCGACGTTTCATCAATTATACGTTCCGGACTTCTTCAAGATCTGTCTATATTTCTGAGATAAAGAATTGTAATTATTTACACTATTTACATTGTTTACATTGTTGTCCCCATCTTTGTTGTCATATTCACCACGTTTCCTCTGTTGTACGCTCTGCCCGAAAACGTCGTGAATATAGCAATAAAGATTCAGTTCGAACAATGTAATTAGTGTAAATAACTGCAATATCTCATCTCAGAAATATAGTCAATTCCTGAAGAAGACGAAAGCGTACAACGGTGGAAACGTAATCTTCAGGTGCTGAGTAGAAATCTTGCTTATTTTAATTGCCAAATATGACTTTTAAATAAAAAAATGTAATTTTAGCATAATATATAGCTGCGTTGGTTTAGTGATAACGAGATGTATTAAAAATCAAATCAAGTAGCAGTCAGTTCTTATTCAGCACATGAAGATTGCTTTGCGGTAGCAGTGAGGTATAATATGTATATTTATTAAAATATATATATTATTATAGTGATTAATCGAGCCTAGAATAATGCAGAAATGACTGGACGGCAGTTTCGGCCTATTTTGGGAACTCATCAGCAGTGCGCAATCCACTATTGAGATTCGAACAAGGACCGTTTCGATACAACGTAAGCGTTATACCAACGGGCCTCGGTGACGAAGAGGAAACTGTATAGACTTGATATAGCGCCGCTACTCAAAAATTCCGTGGTGATACTCACCCAAGTATTCATAACCCAAAGGATTGTGTCTAAAGAACCACGACTTTCCTTCCCCCCCTCCCCCGTCGCAGAGCATTACCTGGGTCAAGCAAGGATATACAAATAATAGAATTTTGGAGATATAGGCAAATCATTATAGTAATTCATCGAGCCTAGAAGAATCCTCAACAAAATGTAGAAAGCACTTGACGGCCGTGTCGTCATATTTTGGGGACTCATCAGAAATGCGCATCCACTACCGAGATTCGAACCCGGACAGTTGGTACATTTGGTATGAGCGCTTGCGTCGTATTCTATTACTGATAGATAGATAGATAGATAGATAGATAGATAGATAAGGAAACTTACACCGTGATTATTAAAATTAGTCAAGCAGATGGTATCTAATGATGAATGAGTTTCATCCTTACTAGTGCATATGTATGCTCTGGTGTGAAACTAAGATAAATATTGTCATTTATTCAAAAGTCTCGCTCCTAGATATTAAGTGAAATTTGATCTGAAGTACATGAATTCATAAGACCGATGGTTCAGCCATTTCTTTTCTCAGACGTTCGGCAATATATTTTTGGAAAAGTCCTTTTATGCAAATCGCTCCATATATTTTGAGAGGCGGAGGTGGAGTGAAGAAGCCAAAATAATGTTTCATTAAATTCAACAAAGTAATGAATGCCTTAATAAAAAATGAATTTTAAAGACACTCATTTCAGGAAGTGCCATGACCTCAACGTTATTATTATAATGGATTTTGTGTTGTCTATTTCATAAGACAAAATCTCACAAAATCAATGGATGAACGACTTCAAAAACCAGTTTGAGAACATAGAGAAAATATCGACTTTTCAGATAAATTCATTCTTTTTTTTATATATTGTTAATCAACAATTTTAACAAATCAGTTACTAATATAAAAGGATAAACACATTTTGTAGATTAACAGCAGCAAACAGTAAACACTATGGTAAAAATAATTTTGATGTTACTTCAAAAAACATTGAAAAAAAAAACGAATGAATTTATCTGACAGCCCAATATCTCACCTTATTGGTAGGTTTAAAAACTTGTCGCCATTACAAAAATATTGCTTTCAAAATTTTCTGTTTGTAAAATTTGAGCAAATTTTGTAGTTATAATATTTAATGTAAATAATATTTAATTAAATTATATAATTAATTAATATTTAATTAAAGAAAAACGTTTCATGGCGTTTCCTTAACATATCTAATAATTTTAAACTGGAAACATCCGGTAAAAATGTATGAAACTCTGGACAATTTGTTTGAGATATGTTGTCTAATATAGTTTATATTCAAAATATCATTCTGAATCTCTTCATTAAATTGCTAAACTTTACAAAATAAAGAAAAGTAAAAAATAGAATTAAAAGTACGTAATAATGTGCGATGCACACATACGTATATGTATATATAAATATAACTAATTATGTTGTGTAAAATGAGTAAAAATAAGAAGAGTCCTCAATATCACGAAGTAGTTAGGATGAAGATTACTTATAGCGTGAAACTGATATATATATATATATATATATATATATATATATATATATATATATATATATATCATGCAGATTTGATTTCTATTGCCGCACCTTTGCTTCCGCTGTCTCTCTCTCTCTCTCTCTCTCTCTCTTTCTCCCTCTCTATCTCTCTCTCTTCCTAAATGTACATATTGTTTACTGCTATTGTTATGTATACGGGTTAAAATACGTTTGTCTTTAATCTTTATATTTTCATGACTTTTTGTCAGTAACTCAGTCAGTATAATGGCTTTAGTGAAGTTTTTCAATGTGCAGATTTCGTTTGATGTTCGTAATGAGAAATCGAGGTAAACATTTCAACACTGACAAGAAAGACGAACTGTGAAGATGGCGAAGGGAGATTAGCTACAGAGCGGGATGAAATCTCAGTTGGTGATGAAAAAAAATGAAATATAAAACGAAGAAAATGGAAAGAAGCCGGAGTTGGGAGGGGGAAATTGAAAAGTAAGAATAACAATGAAAAATCAAGTGAAAAAAGAAAAAGAGATAAATCAAAGGAGAAGGAAATAATGAAGGAATCAAGTGAAGAAATCTGAACACTATGGAAAAGTTAGAACACGACGTAATAAGAGTAGAAAGAAGGAAAAAGAAAATCTACAGAAATAAAGAAGAGAAAAATGTATTGAACGTGAAAAATAAATGTGGAAGCAGAATAAAAATATATATATTGAGGAAAATTACGAGCAAAGGAGGTTGAACTAAGAATAAGAAAAAATAAAAGAACAAAGGGAAGGAATAATTAGAAAAGACAAAAGTATTAAATAAAAAACAGGAAGAAAAAATAATAGAAAGAAAATAAGGAAGAAAAAGTAATAGAAAGAAAATAAGGAATAAAAAAAGAAAACGAAAGAGATTTTGAAAAAGAAAACCTGAAGAACAAAAACAAAAATTAAATGAATAAGAGTAACATCTTGAATCAAGATGGAAAAAGTCTATCAAATTCATGTAATTTTAAATTGAAAAAGTCTATCAAATTCATGTAATTTTAATTGTAGTTTTACTGAGATGAAATAATCATCTCTATTAGGAAAAAATATGCTCTTACTTAATCCAGAAATGTATTTCTTTGCACACATATTCATAGTAAAATATTTGTGACGATACTGTCCATATTGACAGTAAGATTATTAATTAAGAATATTCCCCACTAACATTTAAATGTAAAAACCACTCATAAACATATACACACAGAAGGTTTTCACGCACTAGAAAGTATTCTTAAGTTTTGCTGGCAGATTTTTTCCTATTTTGAAACTTGGAGCACAGCTCAATATACTTTCTATTTACGTCGATTTTGATTTTTTGCTAGATTCAGCAAGGATTAATAGGTTATAATATGTCAAAATCGTTAGAACCGTCACGAAATTGTATAAATTGTGATTACAACTTTACTATGACTTTTATATTTACAAATGACAAAGACATTTCGGAATAAATATTTAATGATATAAGAACACATTCTTGTCTTTATATGTTTAGACATTTCATGGTATATCAAAGATGACGTCTCTTTTCTCATCTATATTCATTCCAATTATCAGACATATTTTACGCTGCATTCAACACAGGCAAAATTAATCTTATGGAAAATTATCAGAATTTAAAAGCAGAAAAATAGACGCTATATTTATTGAACATTTTTAGGGAAAGAAATAGTTTAATCTTTTTTGTGTGCTTATGTTGAAGATACATCATAAATGTAAAGGAATGTAATAATTTTAAATCAGTATAATCCTATTCGTAATAAGATTGCTACTGGAAAAATGTTTGTTATGAAAACCGAATTTCCACTACGCATTCAGGGACTAATTTGTCCAAAAGAAAAATAGCGGAATTTTTTCACACACGAAATATATTCAGAATAACGTACAACGCACTTCATGCATAACATGCATTGCATTTACGATATTTGAAACGGTTTTGTTTAATTAGAGAAAAATCATCGTTACTATTAGGATTGAACAACTTCAGATTTACATTTGAATGGCCAGGAAAACGACATAATTCATTATATATCTATCTGCCTATAACGTGCATGCATATATATATATATATATATATATATATATATATATATATATATATATATATATATATATATATATCTAGTTATACACGTTTGGAAAAGCCTTAGGTATTTTGGCTTGTAATTGAACACACCAATGCCCAAGGGAAAATAAGGGATAAAAAAGAAAGAACTTAGACCATGAAATAGAGCCGAAAACAATCGCCGAGAATTCAAGCTCAGAGTTCAAAGAAAAAAAACGTCCAAAACGATTAAAGCAAAAGTAACTACGTAAAGTGCTCAATACACTTAGTAGAGCAAACCTAAATATGAACCTAAAGAGCCAGGCAAACCTACCTAGGTTTTACCTATACGGATCGTCAGGGTCAACTGGCCAACGAGGTAAAGGTGGAACAAAATATAAAAACAACCATGACCACGTGACTAAAAAAAAAATCAACCAAGTAAAACCGTAACTCAACAACGGAACAAAAAAAATAACAACTATATATAAATATGAATGTGTAGGATACAAAATGTACATACATGCACAAATACTTTCACCTACATAAGTATATTTATTCCTCAGGTGCAATAAGTATAGTGTTTGTAGGAGTAAAGGACGGCGAAATTCTCCATAATTTTAATTGTCCCAAACGCTTTCCGACACTTGTTCGGCCGATTGCAAGAAGTTTTTTTTTTTTTTGATGTTGTTTGTTTTTCCTTATGTTTCGCTGTTTAATGTGTATTTTATTGTTGCGTTGTTTTAACTAGGAGCGTTTATTCCGAGCCTTCTCAGGTTGAGCTAGAATTCGTGTGAGCATCTTTCTATTAAAAAAAATTTACACACACACACACACATATATATATATATATATATATATATATATATATATATATTGAAAAAATAAAATATGTATAGATAGCTAGATAGATAAATCAAAATATCCGTAACCTAATATTTTTCATGCACTTCAAGTATTCGCCACATTTATCATACAATAAATATAAACCTTGTTTTAATACACACTAAAATCTACATTGACAGTTAAAAATCAAATATAAACACCAACGCCATAAGGTATACACATGATGTCTACTTAGTCTCTGAAAAAGAAAACAGAATATTTTCAAAATAGAAACATGTATAAACACAATGGCAATAAACTCTATACATAGCGGCGACTCAATGAACGAAAACATAACATCATGGAAATTATAAACTGAACATATTTTCGCATCATTTCACTTGCCAGAAAGTAATGTGATGTGCGTTGTGTATGATAGATATCGGCTCTGAGTGAGAAATTGGAGAGCAGAGTTCGAATTCCAGTCGAGATCGTTAGATACACCTACGCGCAAGTACCCGTTGGGAAAAGTATGAATCCATCTCTTTTCCGCCCTCCACCAAGCTCTGGATTGAATAGCAGGACAGACTAGGTTCTTTAGCATTGTTTGGAAACCAGTCTACCGCAAAAAGTAATGGCAACCTGCTGCGGGAAAAATCTGCCTCATCAGTCATTTTTCGAAAGATAGATAATCGCCCAAGCGTGTAGCACTTATGGCACTCAACTGACTGAAAATTATGTAGCGGGATCTAATAAATTAAAATTTTGTAATGTTTATTCCTTAGTTAAGAATATTTAGAAAGGCATAAACAAGCTGAGAAGCTGAGATTTATAGATAGATAGTGAGAGAGATATATATAGATAGTGAGAGAGAGAGCGATAGATAGATAGATAGATAGATAGATAGATAGATAGATAGTGAGAGAGAGAGCGATAGATAGATAGATAGATAGATAGATAGATAGATAGATAGATAGATAGATAGATAGATGTAAACTGGTAATAATAAAGCGATAGAATGACAGACGATTGGTATATATTCATGCTCTCAAGCGGAAATAGACAGCAAATATCAGATAAGCTTCGAAGCTAAATAAAATAAGTTTTAGGTTTTACTTTTTGGTATCATATGAAGTGCTTCTCTTTTCGTAATTTCTTTGCACTCGACTGACACACGCAAGTTCGCTTTAATTATTCAAACACACATGAACGCACAAGTGAACTCGACTCATTCTATCAATTGTAGCCAGCAGGTCATCAGACCGCGTATCGATATCATTTGACTTTCAACCGTTGTCGATTTTGACAGTGAGATATCAGAGAATGTTTGACCAGCCATAAACTGAACATTTATCATGACTTTGGTTTCCCCCAAAACAAATTAAAGGAACAAAACAAATTCATATGGTGTGATATCCGTTCAAGTGTCAGCAGCTCATAGGAAAACAACTGCGTCAAGTTTGACTTTTGAAATGAAAAAAATTTCTTAGAAAGGAATGAGCACAGATTATATATTTTACAAGGGATTCGAAAAATTTTTTGCATATCACCTAAATATTTAGAGAATAATTCTTCTCTCTCTCTCTACTTTGCACATGCACACCGCCACGCATTTACAATAACAATAATACTAATATATATATATATATATATATATATATATATATATATAGAGAGAGAGAGAGAGAGAGAGAGAGAGAGAAATAAAAGTTTGTAGCTTAATATTACAAGACTTGTTAAAAGCGAAGCAACCGATTTCGTTCCCGCTCTTCAGGCCTTTACGGGAGATTTAACTTAAATTAAAACAACAGAAAAATGTGTAATGAGAAAGAGAAGGGGAAAAACATTAAACACAAGGAGCTAGAGAGAGACAAGTAACAGCGAGCCCCAACAAACATTCACGCTGTTTACACAGGAGAAGGCTTGCCGGACCCGATATAAAGTGCCTCCAGCAAATTGAGATGAAATAACGAGTGTGACCAGGACAGAACAATAAACCAATCAGCACTAAAATTAGCTGCACACCCTCTGAGAAATATGAGAAATGGATAAAATCCAACATATTATTTTAATTTATTTGTTTAAACGTTATTTTTAATGGATACTCATATTCGAGTAGAAGCTCTGTTTTTTTTTTAATTGAACAGTATTTTTATGCAACTACATCTAACGGCCTGAATATTCGTGAAAATTTGTCAGAAAAATATGCATCCCCTGGCATTATTCGAACCTACGCCCCCTAAGGGGAACTGTCATTGGATCTGACGTGCCTAATCGCTCTACAGTCAAACAAAGCCCGAATAGTGCTTTTGGATAAAAAAAAATTCGGTAGATGCAGTTGGATAAAAAATAGTGGTTCATGAAAAAACAAAGCTTAAATTTAACAATCTGTCGAATTTAATCCATTTCCTAAAATAAATTGTCTTTGTTTACATTAGAATACCAAACAGAGAAAATATGGATGTTTCGAGAATCGGTAGAGAAGTAAGAGTTCAAAGTGGACTATTTCCTCTGATTTTTGCTTACTGAACTGACTCAAATCCAAATAAAGCGGATATTTTTATTAGATATATTAAATGAAAAATATCCAAACCAGAATTATAATTATGAATCACCACAAACAAAATATACATTATTTTTCTGTATTCGATGAATTTAAAATGTAAAACTTGTTCAAGCTTTCAAAAAATGTTTATCAATGATTAAAAAGTGACATCATTTGTTTGGTCATAATTAATAAAAGAAAAATATAGATAAAAGTGTATCTAAGACATGCTGGGCATAAATTAGAAGACAAAACGTTTTAAATTTTCATTGTTTATTGAATATCCTAAAAACTCCTGTACTGTATAAAACATTACATCATAATATAGCTAGATTGCTCAGTATAATTTCGCTTTAAAGTAAATGAAGGTCTTATTTGACGGCACAATGATTTCGTAATAATGTGCTTTTGCCTTGATTCTTGTTTATACACAATTTGTGAAGCTTTAGTAGATAATTTAACTGCTCTTTCCACACCTTCCAAATGGACAGGTAAATACGACAATTCCAACGTTGTTTTATTCATTAAAACCTCTTGTAGTTGATTATTTGAAACACTTTCCGCAAGTGCAGGTTCCCAACCTCTATTTTATGAGAATTTAATCAAATTTGATCAAAATATCGCTTCAGATTAGAATGTGAGTTTTGTTTTAAATCTCTTTTCTGATGGCTCGCTACTTCTGAAACAAAAAATATTTTTGTGCTCTGAATTTTGTAATGAAATATTATTTCGATCAATTCTTAATTTATTCTCTCGATTATTTTGAAGATATAAAGTTGTTAGTTATGGTATATATTACCCCTTTAAAACACATTAAAATGATGGTTAAAGTCAACCGTCTTCTTAGATTTAAAGACCCAATTTATCAGGCAACAATGGTTCACTTTCTTCCAAGAGATTTCTGCTGCATATTCTAAGTGCAGTCTCCGGCCACTACTTAAATATTCCCTTGCTCATGCAATAAAGTATAAGTTATCAAATGGGATACTGACAGTCTTAAATTCTTCCTGGAGTAAATCCTGGTAATTATTTTCTCAAGGTTTCCCAAGAATGCCAATAAAGGTAGTTGGGTTTCTTGTACTTGCATCACTGTATTAAAAACAGCTATAAATGGAAGTTTATTTTGATAACGTTAACAGCCAATGCTATTCAACTTTCTATTCTGTTTTTTCTCCAGAACTGTATCAAGTCCTGTCTCTCAACTAGCTTTTTTACTGGTATTACCCACAAGAACTGCATTAATAGAATTTACGCAGTTGAAATTTTCTAAAACAGCAGCAACGTTCTCTGCTAGAACAACACCAGTTGCAACAATGTTAGGGATAACTCTATGGGTGAGATATCTACTTTCTGTGTCCATTTCTGGTGAAATTCAAGCGGCCTTCAAGTTTGGTTGTCTTATTTTTTTTTTTAAATCGCCGTTTTCCGTTGATTTCCGTACAAAGAGATTTCTTTGTATTGCAAAGTATCATTATCGACTCTGCAATCAGCACCAATGCAGATGATATTTTCAATGGTTTCGAACATGCTTCTCATTGGTGGTTACTTTACGCTTCCCTTTTCTCTGTCTATTTTTGACTTATCAATTATAATGTCCTTTAAGAAGAAATGAAGAAAGCCCGTACTAATAAAAACGCATTAGCAAACCATTCCCTAAGGTTGGAAGATAGATCACACTTAATACACACCATGGTATATATAAAGACTTTTAAAAGACAGTAACTTCCCTTAGATTGCTTCCCTGCCTCAAAAATATTATCGGCTGTTTCTTCACTGGAAGACATTTGTGGTAATATATCCGATGTAGAGACAACATATGTAGAATCCTGTTGGTGTTAGCTTTCAATGTGTTTGTCTAATCTATTTCAGCTGCACAATCTTTGACAATATTTCCAAGTTGGAAACTGCCTTTTGGTCTTGTTTTCTTTCTCTGATCTTCTAAATATTCCCTTTCTTCAACGGGAATAGGGAATTTTTAAAATTTTATATAAATTTAAAAACAGATCTAGCACGCATGAAAAATATGGAGGAAATTAGCGCAGTATTATTTACTTGAGAAAGGAAGGCGATTAGAAGTAAATTTATATTCTTCAATTAATTTAAATTTTGAAAATCATAACATGAACTAAGTCAAATTGAACAAAGAAAAAAAAACAAGCACAGAATTAATATTAACTTCTGATAGGGAGTATAAACGTTACCCTAACTTAATAAAATTTCAAAGGTGAATTTGAAATAAAAAAATAGAAAGAATGAAGCAGTATTGCTTACCTAAAATTGGAAATATAATTTCTTTCACGGAAATAAACAAACAAAGCCTTTTCAATAAACACAAACCACTTCAAAAATGCAAAATTATGTAGATTAAAAAAATTATTTTCTTTTTCAAATAATTCCGTTGTATTTATAATGCAAACGAACAAATTAATTTTACTAGTGACAAACGAACAAACGAATTTCAATAAATTTAATTTTAACGGTGAGAATTTAGACAAACGAAACGATTCATAATGGTGATGAAAATTAAAGAAAAATTTTTTGTTTTTTTTTTCAGATTAGTTTAATATTTTCAACTGAAAAAGAACAAATAAACTAAATCGCATAGGGAAAAAAAGAATCGATTTTCATCGCTGGACACAACCTAAATACATTATATTTATTCAGCATTTAGCCTTTATAAAGTGATTTTTTGTATTATTCATAATTCCGATTCATTTTTGTTTGACTTATTAGACACGAGCTAATATTGGAATTTGAAAACATTTTATTAACTGACATTTGCACATTCGTTTTCCATAAGGATACGGAATTTTTTGACAGCCTGATCTGTCACTGATCACCTGAATGAAATTCCGATACTCCAATTTTGAACCTAAACTTAAGCTTTAAACTTATTTCACACCAAAACGGCCACGATTTGGAAAATAATATTTTGTCATTATTTATCATTTCAAATCCCAATTTTCAAAGTGCAATAACATGGTTCCAAAATCGACCTGCCCTAGTCAGCAGATTTTGTATCACCGAGGAGTGTCGATTGACTGCTTGTGTTTGGGGAGAGGGGTTACAACAACAATGAATGCCATGGTAAAAAAAAAAATGGGCACCCAGAAGTACGGCGTGTAGAAATATTTTGAATCCAAAGGGTAAAAATCGAATAGAATTTCGCTGTGACCATTTTATTGTGTCTGGTGAAAATATAATAAGCACGAAGCACGTATTAGTCAGAAAAATTGGGTGTACCGATCTACATGACAAGTTTCATATAGTGTAACCACATTCATCAATAAATGAAGAAATCATTTTGAAGTTTAAAACATGCATTCAACATAAGGAACGGTAAAAGATTTGCGATAATTCTGTTTGTGCATATCCGTTTTTCTGTCTGTCTCAACATTTACACACAAAACACGCACAACCATATATATATATATATATATATATATATATGTGTGTGTGTGTGTGTGTGTGTGTGTATCTTTACGTAATGAATGCAGCG